ACATCTGGAGCCACGGACTGACAAGCATCGTATCTCAGCGAAACATGGCCCGGTGTTCCGCTGCTGCCGCGGCTGCATGCGGGGGGTCGATGGCCCTGAAGGTCACCACGCACCAGACCACCCCAACTCAACCCGAAGGCCCCCATGTGCCTTCCACTCCCAGTGGGGGTGCGTCGGGGAACATTGAAAAAACACATGTGGAACCCGCTTCCCCCTTCCAACCCGAAGTTCGGGTCTTCGGGTTGGGTTGGGGTGGTCTGGTAGGTACCCTCCCCAGGGTTGCCGAGGAGCTGTCCCTGAGGGGTCATCGGCGCTCTCCTGGCGGGAAAGCGGTCGGTGTCAGGATCTCTCAGGAGGGGAGGAAGGAGGACGATGACGAGCAGAAGGACAATTGTGACGACGACTAGGATGGCGACGACTACGACGACAATCATGGTGATAATGATGACGACGACGATGACGATGATGATGCTGATGCTGATGCTGATGATGATGGTGGTGGTGGTGATGATACTGCTGGTGATGATGAGGAGGATGATGAGGAGGATGATGATGCTGATGCTGATGCTGCTTCTGCTGCTGCTGCTGCTGCTGATGCTGATGCTGATGCTGATGCTGATGCTGATGCTGATGATGATGATGATGATGATGATGATGATGATGATGATGATGATGATGATGATGATGATGATGATGATGATGATGATGATGATGATGATGTTTGTGCCCCACGGGAATGACCCAGCCTCGGCATCCGTTCCGCTCTGCAGGCTTTTTGCTTCAGGAGTGTATGGAAGCCTTCCGCCCCCTTCTGGCCACCCTCTCGGCCCTACGCGAGACGGCCCTCTCTCGTGCGCTTGCCTATCCCAGCCCAATGGATTGCCATTGCGAGGTGGCCGCTCCCGAGGCGGCGGTGTCTGGCGAGTGCCGCCTGCTGGCCGATCTGATGGGGCGCCCCACGCAGGTGTCTGCCAGTGCGACTGCCACTGCGAGACGCAGGCCGCCGCTGGTGGCTGGACAGCCGCCTGGCTGCTGCTGTGCGTCGTGCCCCTCCTCGTGGGCGCCTTCACCGCGGGCCTCTGCATCGGCCGCAGTGTGACCCGTGTGCCCGCGCCCTCCCGGGTGACGTCAGAAATCATCACCATTGACAGCGAGGATGGCGACGTCCGACTGGATCCACCACTTTCAGGTCGGCGATCGGGTCCTCGTCTGCTACTGCCAAGACGCGGACGGGGCGGTGGTGGAGTGGCATGAGAGGCTGCTCCTCCCCCACATCGTCGGTGCGAGCTGGGTCGTGATCTCGCGGGATTTCGACATCTTCGAGGAGAACCTTGCCGAGACCGACGGGGTCAAGAAGTTCAGCGCTGGTGGGGCCTTGCCCGCCGCCTTGCGGGGTTTGACGGTGTACCGCATCGACCACTTCGCGTTCGGCAAGTACTACATGGACACGGGGGAGGCGCTGGCCAAGGGTCTCCGCCCTGCTGGCGCTGGCGCGGACGCTGCGCCCGCGCCTCCTGGCAAGGGCGGCCCGCCCGCGACGCCCGCGGGCAAGTGAGTCGCCGCTGCAGCCAGGGTGGAGTGAAGGTCGGCGATTTCTTACTGGCGCACACTGGTGAGTGGGTCCACGTCGTCAACGATCGGTGCATGTTCGTCCTCACGGACGGCGCAGTGTTCTCAGGCGGGCTGGAGGACCCCCTCGTCAAGGGAGCGGCGGTGGAGGTGTCGGACTCCCGTGAAGCGTGATGGCATGCGGCGCTTCCGTCGGCCATTCGCGGACGCATTGCACGCCATGAGGGGGGTGGACTTCAGCACAGGCTGGGAGATCGAGGGGCCACGTTCGGCCTGCTTCGTCGCGGAGCGCATCCACCAGGGCAACCAGGGGCCGGTGCAACGCCACTGCTGGTTGCGCTCGGTGCTAGGGCTTGCCGCGGCGGGCGTGGGAGTTGACGAGCGCCTGCTGTTGTCCCAGTTGCTGGAGGTTGCTTTCACGATTGAACAGGTGCAGCTGTGTAGCGTGGCGGCGTTTGAGCTCATCGTCCGTCGCTATCACTTGTGGGAGAGTGCCTGCGAGGATCTGCTCTGCGAGGTGGATGCTTGGTCGGCTGGCGGCGACGGCTGGCTGAACGTGCGCTCGTTGTTCGTGGGCGTCAAGAACTTGCGGGGCAGCGCGATCGTCATCCCCGAGCTGGAGGATGTCGTGCTCTCCGCGCGCGCTGCCGTGCTGAAGGAGCGCCGCAAGGCGCGTGAGGGGGCCGGCTTGGCCATGGGCATCGACGCGACCCCGCCGGCGAAGTAGACCGCCATGGGGGAGAAGGGAGAGAGGGGGAGATGGCAGGCCTGACGGCTTGCTTCCAGGTAGTTTGTGTCGCCGCGAGGAGGAGCGCCCCGCCTTCTCGAGGGCTTGCCGTTGGTGCGGCAGGTGGTGGCCGCCCTGAGGTGCTTTCAAGCTACGCATGGCTCGCCAGCGCGACGTCCTCCCCGTCTCCCTGGCCGCTGCCTTGAAGGTTTGCTCGGGTGGTGCCAGCGGCGTGGGCCTTTCTCAGAGTCAGCGATGACGTCTCAGACGGCGTCGAGCGCAGGAGGGCTGGCTGTCCGAGAGTATCCAAGCTTTGAACGAGCTCGGTGCGTCGGGCTGCTCCTCACCTCCGCCTTCTTCGTTGATTTCAGCTCGGGTCTCCGCCGTTCGTCGCCTCGCTCGGCGGCGCGGGGCTCTGGGCGCTGCGCCGCCTGATTGCGGGAGCTCCCGGGGGGCGTGGCAGGCGCTCCAAGGCGCGCGGCCCGGCTGCGCAGATGGCGCGTCAGCCGTCGGTGCTCGTTTGAATTCCGATCGAGGGATCGTGCCACTTCCCGCGGGGCGGCCTGGGGAGGCGTTGCTGAGTGAGTGCCCGCCGCTAGCCTTGCAGCCCGCGCTCGAGGATCGCTCGATCATCTGATCTGTTGAGGAGGTTGCCACGCATAAGAAAAGAGTTTGGTGGCGGCCTCTTCGTTGGCCCGTGGCCCTCGCCCATCTGGAGTGCGCGCCCCGCGTTGTCCTTGTTTTGCACGGGGGGGGGGGGGGGCGTTGACGTCTGCTGCGCCTAGTTTGAGCTTCCCGTCCAGCATGGTTCTTTTCTTCGGCCTGCCTACGATCCCCATGGCCCGCCCGTCCTCGGACCTCGTCGCTGCTTTGCCAGAGGCGGCTCGCACTCGAGGGTGGGCCCAGTTCTGGGCCCGGGTGGCGCCGATGGGGTGGAACTGGGCTGTCGCGTTGGCACGGGCGGCCAATTCGCGCCGCCCGAGAGGCGAGAACCCCGAGGCCCCTTGGGTTTCAGACAAGGCTCTTCTCCCACCCCTTGGCGACGTTGGGTCGCTGCGCAGATTGTACATCGATGACATCGCGCGTGTGGGCGTGGGCGCTGTCGTCGCCGATGGGGGCCGCCGCGGGGGCGAAGGGGCAGTTGGGGGCGAAGGGGGTCGAGTCGCCGTTGGGGGCGGAGAGCCCGGGGGGCCATGACTTTATTGGCTTCGCTTTGTTGGGGGCTCATGGGGGGGCTGGGGGCTGGTCGTTTCTGGGAGGTAAAGCTCGCGGCTGACTATCTCTTGGGGGGCGGGCGCAGCGTCGCGGGCGCAGCGTCTTGGGAGGTTCGCGTGTCACGTCACTGCTCTCTTTTTGTTGGCCCTTTGGCTCTTGTGTGTGACGGAGAAGCTCTATGTGTTCATGCATGATAGCTATGTGCGCCGTCAGCCCCTCTGGCCGTTTGTGTGTCGCGAAGTCCGTTGGACCCGCGCGCTCCTCCCGCTCGCTCGATCTTGTATGCGACGCCCCTGGCGGGGCCGCGTCTTCGGGTGCGACGCGTCCGCTTTGGGCTTTGGGGTTGGCCGTGCACGTTGCCTTCGTGACGAAGTTTCTGCTGTCGGTCGGGTTCGAGAACGAGCTCGATTTCGTGGGCTCCTGAGCGTTGCAGGGGCCCCTCGGTCTTGGGCTCTGGACCATGGGGGCTGGGAGGAGGTGTGCGTCTCGGACGCTTCGGAGGATGTGATCTTGCAGCTGGGGCGTCTGCGGGAGTTTGAGGAAATTCCTGCCTCGTTCTTTGACGAGGACTGGGAGGTCGCCCATGCCGGGCGCTGGAGGGGTGTCCCAGGGTCTCAGGTCCAGCTGGGGATCGTACGCGGTCGTGGACTGTCCGACATTTCTCGCGAGACTGTAGTGTCCGCGACTCTCGGGCACTGATGCAGGGCGACAACATGTCAGTGATCTGTGCGCGCGACAAGGGCCGCTCTCCGAACCCTGCGATGCACTTCCAGTGCCGCACCTCGAACCCTGTCGCACCAGCCGTCGGGCTCAAGCTCGTGGGCCGCTGGGTGCTTGCGGAGCGGAACGATCTGGGCGGTGCCAGTCAGGTGTCTCAGCTCAGACATGGCCCTCGGGGCCCGCAGGAGGGGTTCGTGCGATGCCGCCTCCCGTCCGGCGGCGCAGTTGCTGCTCGCGGCCCCGCCCGACTCCGACGACGCGGGAAGTGCGGGCTTGGGCTGCTTCGACGCGCCGCGCAGTCGGGGGGGCGCCCGCTCCCGAGCTCGCGGCGCGAGCGCTGGGCGTAGCGGCCGCGGGGGCCCCCGGCGCGCCCGAGCTGGTGGCGCGCGGCGTGGCCCCCGCGGGGCGCCGGGCCTCCAGCCGCCTGGCGAGGGTTTGGGCCGAGGCGCGGTAGCGGCTGCTGGGCTTTTGCAACGTGCTGGAGCGCCTTGTGTCCTTCCTCGAGCGGCGTCCGCTGCCCAGCTGGTTGGCCCCGCGGCGGGATCGGCGCCCCCTGTCCTTCGTCGTGTGGGCGAGGGCCGCGGGCTGGAGCAGGGCTCTGGCCACCAGGCTGCTAGCGGCGCTGGCGTGGGCGCGACCGCGCTTGGGCGGGCCGCTGAGAGTGATCTTCCCAGGGGCGCACGCCGTCGTGCTGGGATGGAAACAGCTGCATCCGTCGCGCAGCCGCCCTCCTCTTCCTCGGGGGGTTCTCCTGGCACGTGCGTGGGCCATGCTGCCCTCGTGCCCTGTGGGGTCGCTGGCCGTCCTCGTGATGTTCGAGACCTACGTGCGGCCCTCCGAGCTGCTGAGCCTCGCGGTCGCGCAGCTCGCCCCTCCCGCGAGCGAGGGGGGGCCTGGGGCCTGCCGGGCCTTCGGCGCCCGCGTGGAGGAGCTTGGGCGGCCGTCTGAGACCCGGGAGTTCGACCTCAGCATGCTGCTCGACGTCGAGCGGCGCCGGGCGCTGATCCCAGCGCTGCGCGTGCTCTAGGGGCCCCGCGACCGTCAGGGGCGCCTGTTCGACATCAGCTCCAGACAGTTGTGCCGCGCCTTCGCGGACGCGGTGGAGCGGCTGGGGGTCTGCTCGGTCGAGCCGACGCTCCGCGCGCTGCGGCGCGGGGGGGCCGGCCGAGAGCGCCTCGCGCAGGCGCGCTCTCTCGGCGAGGTGGAGCAGCGAGGGCATTGGCGCAGCTTCCGCAGTGTGGCTCGTTACGACAAGCACGCGCGGGTCTCCTTGCAGCTCGGCGAGCTCTCTGTGGCGTTGCAGGCGGAGATCGCGGGCGTCGTGGGGCGCGGCGCCAGGCCCTTCTCCGAGCGCTGCGCCGGGCTCTTGCGCAGGCACTGTCAGCGCTTCGGCGAGTCTCCTTTGACCTGTTCTCGGGATCAGGCAGCCTGGCGCGGGCTCCGGCAGCTCGCAATGTAGCGGTGTTTTGCGTCGATGTTGTTCATGGACTTCAGTGTGATTTGTTGTGTGACGATGTCTTTCGCCTATTGTTCGGTTGGGCTCGTTCGTGCATCGTGTCAGGAATGTTGTCAGGTACTCCGTGCCAATCCTTCTCTGTCGCTCGCAGGGCGCCGCAGTGGTCTCGTCTTCCTCATCGTCCACGCAGCCCAGAATGCCCGAATGGTCTCCCGAATCTGTGTGACAGAGACCGCGGCGTTGTTGCGGAGGACAATGTGTTGGTTCAGCGCAGTGGGATCTTACTAGCCGCGTGTGTCGCTCGTGGCCATCCTTGTGGTGAATGGAACCTGGCTCAATCCTATTTGTGGCCAGGGTATGATCGGCCTGCTATGATGAGACCTAGTGCATGTACGGCTTACGCAATTGATTGCTGCGCCTTTGGAACTGTTTGGCGCGCGCGTGCACGCCTGCGCCTCTTTCATTGCAGATGTCCTGCTCTTCGTCAAGCTACATTTTCGAGTCGAGGTATATGTGCGTTTTCCGGTAAACCACCGTATAAACTCGATGGGCCCACAGGATCTGGAGGTTTTCGTGCGCGGCAGAAACAAGGTTATCCCGAGAAGCTCTGCGAGGTGCTATTAAAAGCTTTCGCGACATCCTTCGGCCTCTTGCGTGTCAATGCCTTGTGGCCTGTTCTCGCCTCCGTTGCCTCCCATCGCCCCTCCTAATTCGTCGGGTCTCGGGGGCGGTTTCCGTCAAACACCTGGTTTCTTAAGTTTCAGTCGTCGAACTAATTCGCCATGGCAGTGCTGATTGCGGAATTTCTCGGAGTGGGCAGATTCGATCGTGCGTGCTTACCCGGTTTCCTCAAGCAGTGGTTTGGAAAAGAGCAGCCAGCGTCATGTCTGTGCCCCGTGGGAATGACCTGGCCTCGGCATCCGTGCTTCCGCTCTGCAGGCTTCTTGGTTCACCCAGAACCCTCCCACCCCCAGAAAGTTGGGGCAGATTCGACTGTGCGTGCTCACCCGGTCTCAGCAAGCAGTGGTTTGGGAATCCGCAGCCAGCGTCATTGTGATGATGACGATGACGATGGCGATGGCGATGGCGATGCTGTTGCTTCGGCTGCTGTTTCTGACGACGATGATGCTGCTGCTATTAATGATGACGACAATTCTGATGATGTTGATGGTGATGCCGGGAATTCTGATTCTATTGACGGTGACAGCGGGTCGGATGGGGATGGGAGTGGCGATGCTGATAGTGTTGATGATGATGCAGCCGATGATGACGATGACGCTGACGCTGATGCTGATGATGCTGACGATGCTGCGACATGCCCGACCTAAGTGTAGTTCGACCCCCAATTCGGCTCAACTTCGACTTTTGTTCGATTCAAGTTCGACTCAGGTAACGGTTCGGCTCAGGTTCGATTCGATGTCGACTCACATCGACGGACGTTCGACGCAGCTTCGACGCACGAGAGGAGCGAAAGTCTCCAGGAAGGTCCCCAAAGTGAACATCCAATCTTCCCCCCTCGGTTCAAAATTGACCCTGGGCCTTCGGGAGCACAGGCTCGAAAGGACAAACGAAGGTGGAGTCCCCAGGGCCTCCAGCAGGCCCTGACGCCATGAGTCTGGGGGGAAGGGGGGTGGCGAACACGGGGCCGACAACGAAGGGGTTCCACGTGGAGGAGGAGGAAAAGGAGCAGGAGGAGGAGGAGGAGGAGGAGGAGGAGGAGGAGGAGGAAGAGGACCTCCCCATCCTCCCTTCTCCCCCGTCTTACCTATGGTATTTGTTTGTCCCCTGATTGGAGCAGGGCGGCGGCGGGTCCGCACAGGGAAGGAAGCCGGCGGAAGGTCCGGCGCCAGGCGGCAGAAGTGGAGAGGTGAAACGCCTGGCTGCCCTGATGCGCCCTCTTTGAAACGCGGCACGTGCCGTGTTCAAGACGTCCGTGACAGCACGCTGCGCGTTGGCTCAACGTGTCGGCCCACGTTGTGGCGAGCGCCTCGCGCCAAACGTGCGTTCTGCGTCTGCGTGGTGAGTGAGCACCGTATCAACATGCTAGCTACGGGTTGCGTGGAGACGTGCATTGTTCTTAGGGTTACTGGAGCCGGCAGTCTGGGAAATGTCAGTTGAGAGTCCGACAACAGGCGCGCATCGAGGCCGTTGCCAGTACCCGGCTTCGCCGCCGCTGGGGATGCGCTGCGCGCGCTTGCAGCATTCGATGCGGGGAGTGCCCGCACCCGACTGTCACACAAGGCTCTGCGGCGGTCGCCCGGGCAGTCATTTTGCGAGCACGCTCTGGTGCGGGGCCCGCATACAGCGAAAGCCGCCGCTTCCACTGCTCCGAGGCTGGGTGATGCTTTCTGCTGCGGTTGCCATGGCCCAGACCCGCGGTGGTGGCCCTGGCACGCATGCAGCCGTTGCGTTCAGTGCCTGGGCTCGCGGGCAACGACAGGAGGCTTGAGCCACTCGCAAAGGGAGGAGGGGGAAGAGGGGAGGGCTTCTTAGAAGCACGCCTGCTTCTCAGAAGGCGCGGGCCGTCTCTATAGATGTAAGGCCGGCTGCCTTCTAAGAAGCAGCCTCCTTCTAAGAAGCCCTCCCCCCTCCCCCCACCCCTTTGTGCGCGCCGCCAAAGGCTGCTGCCACTGAACATGAATGCGTGATGCTCGCAGTGGCGACCGCGGCGGTCATCTCGGCCACCAACCGCCAATCCACCCCGACCCAACCTCAAGGCCCCAATCTGCTCTCCACTCCCAGTGGGGGGTGCGTCGGGGAACCTTGGCAGCGCACGTTTGAAGCCCGTACCCCCCCCCCAACCCGATGTGTGGGCCTTCGGGCGAGGTTGGGGAGGAGGAGGAGGAGGAGGAGATGGAGGAGGAGGAGGAGGAGGGGGAGGAGGAGGAGGAGGAGGAGGAGGAGGAGGAGGAGGAGGAGGAGGAGGAGGAGGAGGAGGAGGAGGTGAGGTTGGGGTGGTCTGGCAGGTCGCCGCTCGGCAATCCAACACACACATGGATGCGGGGTCCTTGGCCCTGGCCTGCCGCCGCCCAGCTGCGCCCACTGGGCCCCCAGCTCGGTGAGAGGATCGGTGGGGGCGACGCAGGGGGTGCATCTTCAGGAGGGGAAAAAGCACACAGACACAATTAATCGTCGATCCCCAGGAAAAGGTGGGAAAATGTAGGAAGTGTGGGGGGAAGACAAAAACCCGGAACATGTGGGGAAATATGGGGAATCCTGTTCCTTGTGCGCATGTATTTGTGTGTCCCAGGGTCCCAGGGCCCCTTTGCACCTGGCCCACGGCTGGAACGGACCCGACCCCTGATGGCGATGGCCCGTGCATCGCCAATCGGGGCTGGAGAGTGCCGCACCCCGCCCGGGAACCTTCGGCCACGCGCAGGAGGGGGGCAGGGGGGAGGGGGGAATGCTTCTTAGAAGGAGGCTGCCTCTTAGAAGGCGCGGGCCTTGCCTATGGATGTAAGGCCGGCGCCAATTCTAAGAAGCAGCCTCCTTATGAGAAGCTCGGGCCGGACGAAAGGGGGGGATTGGGAAAGGGGGGGTTACGAAATTTGCTGGATGCAGCTAGTTTCGGCCCCACCGAGGGGCCCATTCCTCGATACATGGGCGCCTCCGGCGCCGGGAGGCGCCGGGAAATCAGCTACGTGAGCTGATTCTCAAACCTCCCCTTTGCTATCCCCCCCTTTCGCCCGACCCGAGAAGCCTTCCCCCCTCCCCCTGCCCCCTTGTGCGCGCCAGCAACGTCCATCGCCGATCGGGGCTCGAGTGCCGCCCCCCCGCGCAGCAATAGGAGGTTTGGCTGTCGGCGACCTCTCGCCGATCCTGTCGGCGACGAGTCGCCGAATCCAGGTCGATGTTGCCCTTCCCCCCGAGCAGGTACACCTGTGTCGCCCCCTCCTTCAGAGGAGGGCAAGGCGGAGGAGGAGGAGGGGGGGTGATGGAGAGGAGCAGCTCGAGGAGAGGCTGGGCGGGGCTTGCCAGTCGGTCCCAAGGTGGGCCAGCAGATCAAGGGAACCGTTAAGGCGCTCAAGGACAGCTTGCTAGCCCTCGCGCGCCACAGGTTCCTCCCCGATCCTTTTTTTTGTCCGTAAGGGCTTCGCCCCCTGCCGCCAGCCCCCTCTCTCGGATAATGGGCAGTGCAAAACGAACTCATGAGGCCTCGGCGCCGCCGTGAATCAGCGTCGGGACTTCACGCGAAGACGATGAGTAATCGGCAAGACAAATTGAGATTCTGATGATACTGTTGAATTCGGTTTTGTATTTCGAGAGTTTATGGCTTCGGATACTCGAATAGCGCGTAATTTACGTGGGTTTATGGCTTTGGGCTAGAACATGTAGCGTCATTTACGCAGGTTTACGGCTTCGGAGACGCGAGTATTGCGTAACTTGCGAAGGTGTATGGCTTCGGACACGCGATGATAGCATACTTTACAAGGGTTTATAGCTTCGTGGTCGCAAATATTGTGTCATTTACGCAGGTTTATGGTTTCGGAGACGCGAGCCTTGCGTAATTTAAATGGGTTTATGGCTTCGGGGACGCGAATATCGTGTGATTTGCGAGCGTTTGTGGCCTCGGGGACGCAAGCATTGTATACTTTACAAAGGGTTATGGTTTCGGGGATACGCGAATATTGTAATTCGCGAGGGTCTATGGCCTCGGGGACGCGAATATTGTATAATTTGCGAGGGTTGATGGCCTCGGGGGCGCGAATTGACCGTATTTTCATATGTCCCACGCCCCCCCAGGAATTCAGAGCACGCGATTCGGGCGTGGTAACTGGGTTCGTTTTCGGCTCCCCTCCCCCCTCGCGCGGTCCATCAACAAGGAACAGTCAGCAGCAAGAAACAGAATTGTAACAGTGGAAACTGGAAGCTGGAACTGGCGCAGGGAACAGCAAACCCTTGTCCTACAGGCTGGTGGCACCGCAATGGGGGCAGGCGTTTTTTTTTTTGGTTCTCTCTCTCTCTCTCTTTCTGTCTCTCTATCTTTTTCGTTTTCTGTTTCT